AGGGCACGTTTGGCCAGCGGGAGAGTTGTGAGGTTCGAACTCCTGCCACCTGAGGCTGACAGCTTTGTGGAAGCAGCCACTTAAAGGACTGAGCTAGGCCCAGGCCCCCTCAACAAACTTTTTGTAAAGAACTAGGTAGTACATATTTTCAGTTTTGAAGGCCATATGATGTCATAACTATTCAATTCTGGTAGTATAGCAAGAAAGCAGCCATAGATTACATAAGTGAAGAAGCATGGGGGTATTCCAATAGAACTTTACTTACAAGAGTAGGTGTAGTTTAGGTTTGACCTGATGGCTATAATTCTCTGGCCCTTGTTCCAGAGCAGTTTTTCTGAAGACCATAGTTGCTTTTGAGAGGGGAAAAGAAAAATCCCTGGTTTTTAGATCTTTGTTGGTTTTTTTGTTTTGTTTTTGAGACCAGGTCTCATAATATCCCAGGCTGGCCTTAAATTCTGTGATCCTTCTGCCTCAGCCTTCTGAGTGCTGGAAATACAGGTGTATACCACCATGCCCAGCTTTTTTTTATGTGTATGTGGTACTGGGGATTGAACTCAGAGCCTTGTGCTTGCCGGGTAGGTGCTTATTCTACTGAGCTATCTCCCCGGCCCATTTTTTGTTCATTTTTATATAAAGATCACCTTGCTTCTCCTTGTTTTAGAAAGTTAGATCCTGCTTCTGAATTTAGTCCTTTTGGGTGAGGCTAAAGCACTAGAGGAATATTTGTGTCCTCATATGCATGTACCTAGAAGTACTAAGTAAGTTTCACTGACCATAGGAGGTATACAGTACTATTGCTGCTTAGAAGAGCGTTAGCCTCAGAACCACTAGTGTTATTTTTATCTCTAGGCTTCTTTTTCTTGGGTCTGTTAGGTAATTTACTATTCTTCCTAAAGCCAGAGCAATAAACACAAACCTGAGTCTCATGGCTTTACATGGCTGGATTCACCTCTGGTGGAATGTGGGACATTTGCTCTTTTTGATTTTTCTTGAAGTGATTGTCTCATCATTTTGCTTTAGTTCTTATTTTTCTAGTTAAAGTTTAGTGGTTTTGATTGCAACTCCAGAATAATTGTTCAGTTTTCTGGATCATGGTCCAGAGCCTGGAAATCTGTGTTATAAAGTTGGGATGAGAATTCTGAAGTTACTCCTTCTAGTTTTCAGAATTTGTAGAGGAGGGTCTAAGGTTCCCTGCTGTGATCCAGACAAGTTTCTACTAGTTCTTTGCAACAAGTCATAATATACAGAACCTCGACCTCAAAGTTTATTTTAGTAATGTAGGTGCTGTCTTCTGTTTTACATGAACAGTCTGAAGGGCAGTAGCATTTATTACTGATGTAGTGGGTTTTCTCCTATTCTTGACATTCTCAAGAGGTCCATCTTGGGAAGTAGAGTGATGGAAGGAGTTTGGATTGATCTTCCTTTCCAACCTAGACATGATACTTTGATCTGTTTTGTAGATTGGCTTTCTTTGGGAAAAAATACATAATAATCTTGCAGAGGATAAAGAGAATTTAAAAATTATAGCTCCAGTGTATCATGGGAACCTCTAGCACTCCCATTTAAAAAAAAAAAAATTAGAGGAATAGTAGCAGGTGTTCATCTCTGTTGCTCTTTCTCTACTCATCAATCTTGAATAGGTTCTTCCTAGCTGACTTTAGCTTTGAAGGGACTCTGAGCACTTTTAGATCACATGCAGAATTTTTGTGTATGTTTTAAAAAATTAAGATGCAAAGTTCTTTCTGCTTCAGTGTAAGGAGTAGGAATGATTCATTCAGCAGAAACCCATTGAGTGTCTGCTGTTATGTGTCAGGCATGTTTTAGGCATAGAAAGCTCAGTGGGGAAATTTATAGTCTAGCATTCTCCCTTGCTGCTGGAAACTAAGTTCTCGTAGGAGTGGTAGGTTGAGACCCCAGAGTATATGTTGGGGAACAAGTGGCTCTAAGCTGAGGAGAGTTTACTCAGCCTGTTAGTTGATGCTCCGAAGGAGCTTCATTGGGCCACTTTTTGTTGCATCTGTACGTTGCCTGTTCTTTGGCTGTTGCTCTCTTTCAGACTTGTCAGTGATATCTGTCTGTGTTCTTCAGACAGGAACAGGGCTCCAGCCAGATCCGACTGTGCTTACAGGTCCTGCGAGCCATTCAAAAACTGGCCCGTGAGTCATCCATCATGGCCCGAGAAACCTGGGAAGTCTTACTATTGTTTCTTCTGCAGATTAATGATATACTTCTGGCCCCACCAACTGTTCAAGGTTTGTTCATTTATTTATTTATTTATTTTGTTTTCTAGCTCCAGATACAGTTCACATTTAAACTCAGTCAGTGATAGACTTGTTGGGGTTTAAATTTTGGTATGACAGTTGACCAACTAAGATAAATAGTTGGTAGAACAGGAACCTCAAAGGCATAATGTGGCTAAGGAAATTATTTTACCTTCAGTGGTAATTTTGCTGATGTAGGGAAGGACACAGTGAATTATGCATATTTGATAAACATTAGAATACTGGCTTATTTAGGGTTTTAGGGTAGAGCTTATGTAAGAAACAATGAAATCTTAAAACAGATCCTGTAGATAATGTATATGATGGTAAAGTGGTTACTAAAGTTGAGTCTACAAGACAGTGACGGAAGACACGCTGTTAGCAAATGAAACCTCCAGAGTCGTAAAGTGTTCTATTTGGAAATATAACATTATGCTATTCATTAGTCATTTTAGAAATCTACAGTTTTATATAATTTTGAAGTGTATTTCAGAAGCCCTGCTTTGCATGTTAAAGCACAGTGTCCATAAACTGTAAGTTGGTGTTGTGGTTCCACACATTCTCGTTGTTGCTTATTGATCAGTATTTACTATCGCATACAGATGTGCTGATGTCGTCACAGTTACAGTGTCTGGGGGAGATATCTAAAAGGAATCATGAGATTTGTTGTGGCTTGTGTCTAGATGTTCTCCAGAGTGTCATGTGGCTATAAGTAGGGTTTTTTGAGGTGCTGGATTGAGAGTGGATGAAGCTGGAATTGGTTTGGTATAGTTCTGGGTGTGAATAATGGAAGGGCCCATGCTGGGTGTGAGTCCTATGCACCCTAAGGGTATATACCTTGGATAGAATATAAGGGACAGAAAGAGGACTTGGTTGCTGCTTCACTGCCTTTTGGCTGCCATGAACAGTTTCTCCGTGATGCCCCTCGCCATGTTACCCTGCCTTAGAGCCAGCAAACTAAGAATTAAAACTTCCACAAACTAAGCTAAATAAACCTTCGCTCCTTTAACTTTTGGTGTTAGGTATTTTGTCTCATCAATGAGAAAAGGTAACCAAGAGAGAATGTTAGTGTGGAAAGGAGCCCCAGGATAGAAATGCCCTGTCTAGTATTGATGATAGTTGGGCAGTCATTGTGTCAATAGCTGTCTGCCACTTACTTCTCATACCAGTGATGTCCGAAGCACAAGGCAGGTAGTTCATCCCCTTCTAGACCTCTTTGTTGTTGGTGCTTTGCTTGTTTAAAATATGCATCCTTGCTACTTTTCCTGTTAGTCCTAACTTTGCCTTCAGGAGCACTGCAGAATAAAGTCCATTACTATTGCTTCTTCTGGTTCCAGCGCTCAGAACAAAAACGGCTCTGTTAGGCCTCTCTCTTACCCACCACTAGGGCTTCCGCTTTTTTCTCTCTCTCTCTTTAAGGGTATCTTTCAAGTGTTTTAAGCCTTTTTTTTTTTTTTGTTTGTATGAAGCATTTTATGGCAAACTTTAAGGCTAGCAAAACTTCCTGAACCAAATTTTTTTGTCTTCAAAATGGTATAATGAGTAATTGATAATATGTGTTAGAAATATTTATTCTGCAAAAATAATTTGAGGATTGAGGTCATATATATGAATTCCTTCACATAGAAACTTAACTTGTAATAGACACTTATCCTTTCCTTTCTCTTATGTATAGGTTGGGTTGGGTTCCTCTTGCTAGAAGGTTAAATCTTCACTATAAACCAAGTAGGGCAACTTGAACACTCTCAAAGTAATTTGTTGATTTTTTTGTCTTTGATTTCCTTTATAGGTGCACCTAATAATTAATTTTCATTTTTGCTTTTGAATATTTATTTGAAAGTCAGTACTTAGCATTTTTATTTTTGGCCAATTGTTCCAAATTAGTGAATTAAAGATTCTTTTCTTTCGTTTCATTGGTCAGGTGGCATTGCTGAGAATCTAGCAGAGAAATTGATTGGCGTTCTTTTTGAAGTTTGGTTACTAGCTTGCACTCGGTGCTTCCCAACACCTCCTTATTGGAAGACAGCCAAAGAGATGGTGGCTAACTGGAGGCACCACCCAGCAGTGGTGGAGCAGTGGAGCAAAGTCATCTGTGCACTCACTTCCAGGTAGGTGATTGTCTGCCTCACCTGACCTTAGGCATTTTCTCCCTGCTGCTTTGACCTCTGCATTAGTGGTGTACATTGTGAAAAGCCTGGATCTTTCATCACTGTACTTTATTTTTTTTATTTTTATTTTTTAATTTTATTTATTTATTTATTCATTGTGTGTGTGTGGCCAGCTCAGCCCACCAGGGGGCGCGGCTCGCTGGCATGTGGTGCTGGGGGATTGAACCGCGGTCCCTGTGCTTTGCCAAGCTTGTTCCGAGTAGGTACTTTAGACCACTGAGCCATCTCTCCAGCCCCATCACTGTACTTTAGACAGCATTAACCACTGAACAAAATAAGTACAGCAGTTTGGCTAATGCCTGTCTAACCTAAAACCTTTCAGGATAATCAAGTATTTTTGAGAAGTAGATGAATTCTGTCCCTGTCTTCTTCCCAAATCCCACTCTTAATTTTTTTTTTAAATGTATTTAGGGCAGGGTCTACAAGGGTCTCACTACATAGATTGGACTCACAGTGACTCTCCTGTTTTCAGCTTCCTAAGTTCTGGAATTATAGGCACATGCCACCATGTTCAGTCTTGATTGCCTTCTCAGTGTGCCCTGGGGGCGGGGCTGGCATTCCGGAGATCGAAACCCAACCACTGTGCTCTGCCTAAGCAGGTGCTTTAGTCTGCTGAGCTATTTGGCTGGTCCTTGCCCCGTTTTAAATTTTAATTGTAGAAATATACATGATTATTATTTTAAAGGAAAAACCACAGAAAGTTGTAAGTTTTTATCCATATATTCATATATATTTATATGTAATTTTATGTAAGTAGGATCAGAGTATACTTCAGTACAACTAAAGTAGGCAGTCTTGGGCTGGGGAGATGGCTCAGTAGAATAAGTGCTTGCTTGCCAAGCGCAAGGGCCTGAATTCAATCCCTGGTTCCATCAGAAAACAAAAACAAAACAAAAAGAGTAGCCCTTTCTTATTAAAAATGAAATAAAATAAATAAAGTAGACAGTCTTTTTGTTTTTTTAAAGAGAATGCTGTGCTGGCCCCGCTCCTGGGGCACGCTGAGACAGCAATTGAGACTGGGTGTGGGGGCATGCGCTTGTAATCCCAGCTCTTGGGAGGCTGTAAACAGGCGGATTACTACGAGTCCGGTCTAGTAGTAAGACCCTGAACACCCTGTAGACCCTTCCCTAAAATAGGAAAAAAAAAAAAGAGAGAGAAAATATGGAATACTTGAGTCATCCTTGCATAGGTGTTATGCTAATCTTTTCTGTATTGTTCCTATTTAGTGTATGTACTGCCAAAATGAGTACAGTAGGCAGTATTTTTTGCCCTTTTATCATTTAAATATATGAAACCATTCAGGTTTCATGTTTTTAGTATTTATTTTTTCATTTCAACTGTATATAATGTATAATTTTTTTTAGAAGACAAGGATTCTTTTAAAAATATAATTATAATAGTATTATGACACCTTAAAAAGTGGACAGGTCTTTAATACCAGGTAGCGTTTATATTTCCGTGTACATCTTTATAGTTGATTCCATTGAATAAGAGAGCAATATTCAGAAATTACATTCCTAGACTTTTGTGGTGGTAGCGATTGAACCACAGCCTTTGTACTAAGCTACACTCCTCAGCTCTTAATATTTTTTTATACTGACGTAGCTTTGCTAATTTGTTGAGACTGGGTTTAACTTGAAGTCCTTCTGCTTCAGCCTCTCAAAGTGCTGGGACTACAGGCATGCTCCACTATGCCTGGCTACTCAGTGTAGTTTTTTTAAAGTTTGCTTTAAGTTATAGATTTACATTCTTTTTTTTTTTTTTTTGCGGAAGCGGGGATTGAACTCAGGCCCTTGCGCTTGCCAGGGAAGCACTTATTCCACTGAGCCATCTCCCCAGCCCTAGATTTACATTCTTTGATTTCTTTAAGAGTTTTTTGTTGAATAAATGAGGTCGGTTCCTTCCCCTTTTCCCAGTGCTTGGCTATTTGACACAGGGCTTCATGTGTGCAATTAAACACTATACCACTGAGCTGCATCCTTATTCTTTTTTATTTTAAGACAGGATTTGCTACATTGCCCAAGCTGACCTCCAGTTTGTGTTCTTCCTCCCTCAACCTGCTGAATAGCAGGGATTACAGAGCACATAGTTGTTTACAGGGTGTGCTCTGCCACATCTAGCTTATATTATGTTGAGTATTTCAGGTTCTGAGTTTTTCCATTTATGTTGTCATCACATTTACGTTTCTCATCCTATTTTGCTTTTTTTTTTTTTTTTTTTTTTTTTTTTTTTTTTTTTTTTTTTTTTTTTTTTTTTTTTTTTTTTCCTATTTTGCTTGTTAACTGGTAGAGCTAGAGATTTGATCTTAAGGTTTGATTAGGGGCAGGGAGAAGGGATGATGAGATCAAATACTTTATAAGTAGTGGTATGTATCTGAGGATAGACTGGTCTGAACTAATAAATGTTAGATCTTCAAGATGAGATAGATGAGTATACCAATTCTCTATGATACATTTAATATGTATTGGAAACAAATACTAATAGAGTAAAATGTTAGATTTTTATCATTGTGTAAACTAAAATATAAAATTTGGAATATTCTTTTGATTCTGGTATATCTTTGAACATAAGTGTTCTAAATATTTTAAGTGATAGTATTGATTATAAAAGCAGTGCATATTTAGAATAAAAAATTTGGAAGATGTAGGGGAAAGTAGCTGTTTTTTTTTTTTTTTACAGGCGATCAGTATTAACATTTTAACATATTTTCTTATGTAGTTTCTGAAACCAATTTGAGATTATGCTATATACCATAGTACTGTTATCTCCCTTTTTCATCTGACATATGTTCTCACTTTAATTACCTCTTGCATTTTTATTTTTATTTATTTATTTATTTATTTGGTTTTTGTCTTGCTACACAGCTTAGGCTGACCTTGAACTCACTATATAGGAAGGCTGTCCTTGAAATAATAATCCTTCTGCCTCAGCCTCACAAGTGCTGGTTTATAGGCATACACCATTATGCCCAGCTAGCTATTATTCTTTTTTTTTTGCGGAACTAGGGATTGAACTCAGGCCCTTGCGCTTGCCAGGGAAGCACTTATTCTACTAAGCCATCTCCCCAGCCCAAGCTAATATTCTTAAATGATTCTTGAGATTGTATTTTTAATGACTTTATTGTTTTGCATTTTATAGTTATAATTAAAATTTTTCTTGAGGTTTTGATGACTATATTATGCCCAGTGGAATACTTTATATAGCTTCTGTATATATTATTATTAAGGTATAATACCTATACATAAAATATTTGAGTCAAAAGGTTTTGAAGAGTTTTTTTTTGAGACAGGATCTTATTGTGTAGTAAGCCTGCCTGGCTTCATACTCACAGTGTTCTGGTAGGATTACAGGTGTATGCTACCACACTGGGCCAGTATATTTAGAATATTACAGTTAAGTTGTTTAGTTATTTTTATAGTACAATATAAAAGTGTACTGTATTCTAATGTCCAATACTAAATTCCAAACTTCATGTAAAGGTATTATTATGAATAAAATAGTTGTATTGGTAGTTTTGCAGTGTAATGAGTCTTTTAAAAATAATTTGTAATTTTATTATATGATTAATTGTATAATTTAATATAATTTATATTATATAAATGACAGTCTGTTGTCTGTAAATAATACACAATATAAATAATAGGGTGCTGGGGAGATGGCTCAGTAGAAGCCTAAGTTCAATCTCTGGTTCCAGAAAAAAAAAATGTATATATATAATACTTCAAATATGTTTCAAAAATCTTTTGAGCTATTGTGGCTTTCTCCATGGTGCTCTCCCCCCCACCCCCGAACCAGGAATTGAACTCAGGCTCTTGTGCTTGCCAGGGAACCATGGTGCTCTTTTATCTTGCTTTTTCCTCTTTTACTCAGCCCAAGCTGCTGTGCAAAACTAGTTTTTCTCATACTCTTCACTTTTATTTTTTCAAATTGACTTTGAAAAAAATCTTTTTAACAGCTGGTTAAAATGCCTACAATCCCAGAACTCAGAATACTGAGACAGGAGAATTGCTTTAAAAGACTAGTCTAGGAGCTGGAGAGATAGCTCAGTGGTCTAATTGCCTGCCTGGCAAGCACAAGAACCACATGCCATGCCGGCCCTGAAACGGTGTGTGGTGCACACCTATAGTCCCAGTGCTAGGGAGGCTGAGACAGGAGGAGCACTATAAGTCTGAACTTGTAGTGAGACCCTATACCAAATAAAAAATAAATAAAAGGTCAGTCTGGGTTCCGTAGTGTGTGCAAGACCAGCCTGCACTATATAGTGAGATTGTCTCAAAAAAACAAAAAAATCTTCTGAACAACAGGAAATTCCTTTCATGTTTGTCTGCTTTATAAACAAGGGTTTTGTGTACTTTGTTTAAGTAAGGTACATATGTTTCACCTACGTTTTCTTTCTTTTTTTTTTTTTTTTGTACTGATGATTGAACTCAAGACTCTGTGCTTGCCAGGCAGGTGCTTATTCTACTGATCTATCTCTCCGGCCCCCACCTATGTTTTCTTTTTTTTTTTTGGCGGAACCGGGGATTGAATTCAGATCCTTGCATTTGTCAGTCAAGCGCTTATCCTACTGAGCCATCTCCCTGGCCTCTCCACCTACATTTTCTTAAGTTTTCATTTTTGAATGTATTTTTCATTCTGTTAAGAAATAGACTTAATAATATCCATTTTTTTATTTTCTAGATTACTACGCTTTACATATGGTCCTTCATTTCCTCCATTTAAAGTTCCTGATGAAGATGCCAGTCTAATCCCTCCGGAAATGGATAATGAGTGTGTTGCACAGACATGGTTTCGATTTTTACATATGTTAAGGTATTGAGGTTTTGTTATTTCATGAGTTTTCTCCTATTAAATTTCTTAAGGCAAGAACCCTCTCGTTAAGAGTGTAGATGTTAACACAATCCATTAGTGGAGGTGTATTGTACAATAGGCCCATCTACATCATGTTCTTCCTGCTGACCCTACCCTAGCATCCTTAGGCTATCCCTAACTGCCTTTGATTTATACTGTCTAGAAGCTTGTTCTCCATGGTAGATGCAGCACTTGTTCTGATGCTGTTGGTACAGCATGGGTGATATCTCTCTCGAGACCCTGTCACATTTTGTGGGGAGTATAGACTGTCTCAGTCCTCCCTGTATCCAGCCATAGTCAATTTGATACCCCCCCCTTTCCCCCCCCCCCAGTTTTCCTGTAGTAGCTCTGTTTAAAATTTCACTGAGAAGTATACCTTATTATTTCACAGAGGGCTAAACTCCTACTTACTCTATGCCTTTATAAAAATTCTTCCCTTTAGTTCCATCACTTCCTACTTACTCTTGTCTTCCATGGAATGTTACTCTCTTGCAAAATGTTACTCTATTGCATTACTCTGCATGACCTTTTTATAAGTTAGGGATATGAGCTATTTTCTGATTTTTTTCTACTTTGTAGTACTTTCCAGTTTTCAGTCATTTTTCATCTTTCATTTTTCCTTTTGTTTGAGACAAATACTTGTTATGTTATCTAGGCTGGCCTTGAACTCGCTATGATGTACAGGCTGGCCTTGAACTTGCGGTGATCCTCCTCTCTCGCCTCTTGGGTGCTGGGATCATGAGCATGTGCCACCATGCCTGGTAATGATTTTTTGTTTTTAATGCTTTTTTTTTTTTTTTTTTGATTATTTCTCTTTTAAAGTTTAAGTGTTTTTGATCAGACAGTTATGATTTTTCCCTAATATTGTTTCCTTTAAAATATTCAGTTGCTTTAAGCATATCAGCATGTTTTTAGGTCACATTATTCTATTAATCTCTGCATTTATTCTTATATCAGACTCACAGTTTTAATTAACTTTATAATAATACTTGCTGCTATTTACTTTTTTGTTTTTTTCAGACCGGATGTCACTATGCCCTTCAGATGGGCCTTGTAACTATGGAATCCAGGCTGGCTTCATACTTGGGATCCTCCTGCCTCAGCCTTCCAAGTGCTGGGATTATAGGCATGTGCCACCATGCCTGGCCAATATTTGCTAATACTTAGTAGACCTAGCATTGTTTTCTTTTTCATTTTCTTAGAATACTTATCTCTTGCCTGCTTAGCATTTCAGATGTATCAGTTTATCAAGTTAGAAAATACAGTTGGCCTGGTGAATCTGTGGATCCATGTGTATGAATTTAACGAATCAGTGATTGAAAAGTAATTTGAAAAAAAAAAAAACTTTACTGAACTGATAGACTTTTTTCCCTTGTTGTTATTCCCTTAACAATATAATATATAATCTGGTGGACACACTCCTGTAATCCCAGCACTTGGGAGACTGAGGCAGGAGGACCACTATGAGTTTGTGGCCAGTCTGGGCTACATAGTGAGTTGAAGGCCAGGATGAACTGCATAGCTAAACTCTGTGTAAAAAAACCCAATACAGGGCTGGAGAGATGGCTCAGTGGTCTAAAGCACCTACTTAGAACAAGCTTAGCAAAAGCATCAGGGACCGCGGTTCAATCCCCCAGCAC